TCATGCTAAATGTGTTTTTTTTGGACTCTTAATTCTTATAGTCGTTTGACGACAAAACACCTGACTTTAAAAAGACCAAAAAAATATATTTTAAATGATTGTTCGGCCATAATTTTTTGTTTATTCAATTAACAAAAACTTAATGAATATTTGGTATAAAAATTATATTTATTGTAAATGTGTTTGTTTTTTCCCCGTCTTTGTATAAGATTATCTTATTTTAATTAATAATCCATTTTTTTCAATAAATACACTAATATTTATTTATTTCTAAACTTTCATGATACTAAAGTCCACCTAAACCAAAGATTTTGCCGAATAGCAACGTCAAAACATTTGGGGACCGCCGCGCTGTTTGTCTGCTAGCTTCAGCCTCATTGAAACCAGGATTTACTCACAATCACGGTCATAAATATAAATGTTTTTTTTTTTTTTTCAGAAGTATCCGTTGAGTTAAATCAGTTTGATACAAAGCACATTTTGCTCACTATTTTTCATCTCTCATGACAACTTAGATATATTGAGAGCCTTTATTCTTAAAAAGTCCACAAATGCCGGAATTGTGTTAACTGTGAAAATTAGTGTTGTATTTACTGGCATAAATGGTGATTTCCTACAAAAGTAACACATATTTTTACTGTCAAATTTAGAACATTTCTGCAAACTCTATTAAGACTGGTATAATGTTTTTTGTGCTTTCTGAAAAAGGCTATTTTGGATGTGTGTCGTTTTTGTAAAAAGATCATTAATTGGTATTAATTAGTATCTACCTACTTACATTTCCCAAAATTTGAGGTGAAATGTGTGTGATGTATCAGGAAAATTTTCATGCCTAATTATGATAGTGTAGGATCTGCAGTAAGGTCGACCTTCACCCATCTGTTTAATGGATGAGAGTTTTTTTTTACTAAATAAAATGTTTATAAATATACCACAAATGGGTTTCCTAACAAAATACTGTAGGCTATTTTTTACTTTCCTTTCTGTATACAGATAAGGAAAGTATATGATTCATGATAAAAGAAGCTATTCTGTATAATTTTGGTCCTATACATGATTACATGATTTCCCTAAAATGGACTGTATTCCAGATATTTGAGGAAAGATGCAAATTTCGAATTTTAAAGATAACTTAAAAACGGATAAAAGAAAAACCAAATTTTTAACTTAAGCTTTAATCCATCCTGTGGTGAGCTGATTTTGGGCATAGTCGGAAGTATTTAGGGAATACTTTATAGGGTGTCGTTTTTTTATTCTAATTTCCTTTTTATATAAACACTTATAACATAATTATCATAAAATCAAAACAAATCACAAAAAAAGTATATAACCTCAAAATGTTTTCAGAGATTTAACCCTTTTGAATTATTACCATTTAATGATTATAATCCAATAAACAGTTACAATATGTAAGTCAAGTAAAATATTTATGTTCCTAGATCTGGTTAAACTGTAGGCAAAAATTTGTACACCTAATTCTCTTTTACTTTTAAATTCTTTTACTAAAATTCTGCAATTTCTCGGCATTTCCCGCAATTTCCTATCAATTCCCACAATCCCCTATCATTTCTAACAATATTCCTCAAAATCCCTTTGATTCTTTAAATTTCTTTAAATCTGTAAATTTGGTCGAAATTAAGATTGGAAAATATGACCCCACATTTTATTAAATTGTGAATTTCAGCATAATATTTAAGGGATTCTATTTACCTACTAGGTACAACAAAGAAATTACAACTAAGAGACAAAATTGTTTACATTTTTATGTGGCAAATCATTATTCCCACCAGATTCTCGTTTATTGCGTCTTTGCCGATTTTATCAGTCTGTCAAAATTATTTGGACAAATTACTTTCGAAAAATAAAATTTGATGTGTCCTGTAACTATAATTTTATATTATATAAATAAAAATATGTTTTTAATCAAATTATTCTTTGAAGTTTTGATATAAGCTAAATTTTTTATTAAAAAATCAATATTAATCTAAACAAAATATTAGGGTTTCGAAGAACTCCGTAAATACGGCAACGCTGAATATCTTAATTTAAGAATCTCTAATTTTTAGAATGAAATGTAGTACCGTAACCAGCCGCAACGTAGCCAATCAGGTCTAACAGCTATTTTGTATTTCTGACAGTATCTGACAGTTTCTGTGTGACTTATTGATTTATTCATTTATAAAATACTATTTTTGTGAACTTTTGTGAGAAATATAAAGAATTATGGTACATGCATGTGTAGTGTTCAAAAGGTAGATCATTTAAGTCGAAATGTATGGTTTCATCGGTAAGTATTTTTAGGTTAAGATGTTGTTTTCATTTGAACCAGTGGAGTAGGGCTTGTACAAGATTTGATACAATTTCTTATAGAATTTAAATTATATAGGATCACATATTAAATTGTTTGAAACATGATTATCCAATCTAATTTTTGAGACAATTTACTGCAGGTTTGATAATATACAATTTGAATTGTACAAGAAACTATATCAAAAACTTGTGTAGTCTAAAACAGTCTTAGACAGTTTTTAAAGTGATATTCCTTTTATAAATTAGTAAATTATACCAATAAATAATTATTGAATAGTGGCAAAGAAAATTTAACGTAAAATGTAGAATACCTTAAAAATGATTTACCTATTAAGCACCTATACATATTTTTTATTACTCTATTTAGGTTTCCGCAAGATCCTGAGAAAAGAAAACTTTGGTTTTCTCTAATAGGAATCCTTGAAAATCAGCCCCTTCCTAAAAACCCAGAGTTGTGTTTAGAACACCGTTTTCCTGAAAATGTTTTGATACGTGCAAATGGTACTAGATATATTAGAAAAGATGCAAATTCCAGACGGTGTGAGGGCTTTCTATTTTTGGATGACTTATCCAACAGGTAAAAATACAAAATATTAATTTTTTGTTTACCTCTAAACATTATTTATTACCTATATGTATGTATATCTAATGTATGGGTTTTTAGTTCTGATTCAACTGTTTTTGGAACACCACCTGCTGCAAAAAGAAACTTTGCAGTAAGTTATAACATTAATAACTAAGCATAAAAAAATTAAATGAAATTTTAGTTAATAAAATTAAAGTATTTTATATATTTAAAACATTATTTTAAAAATTTTTACGGTTTTTTTACGATATTTTTTGCCATACCATGTTTTTTTTGTAATTATTAATTAAAAAATTATATATTTTTAGGACAGTGTTTTATTTAGATACCCCTACCTACTTAATGTTAATTTAAAATAATTTTGGTTAACATCATACCAGGCAAATATATAGTAAATGCCAATAAACTATAAACCAATAAATATTAAAAATCGAAAGGTAACTTGAATTCGCTTGTATTTGAATTTAATTGTACTTGAATTTACCTACATGAAAAATCAGCAAGTATCATGCAACACTATTGTCATATACTCTGAAGGCAATTCTCTCACCTGAAATCAAATCACGACTGCTGAAAGACTGTCTAGAAAACCTGACAGAGCTAAGTAGTTAAAATAAGGTGACCTTGGCCTGGATTCCAGTCCATGAGGGATATCAGGGCAACGAATTAGCTCGAGGAGGCTCAGATAAGGCCATGACAGGCCCCGGACCCTTCTGTGGAGTTGCTAAGGCATTGTGTAAGGCATCCATTAAACAATGGATGCAAACAGAGTCTCAGGAATGGTGAAACAACTATCCGAGACTGAGACAGGCCAAACAGTTCATCAAGGAACCATCGGCCAAGTTCACGAAACACCTACTGGATCAAAAGCGTCAAATCTTTAGGATAACAGTAGGCCTTCACTGTCGCCTCAAAAGGCACATGAGTGTCATAAATCCAGCAGAAGAAGCAACTTTGTGCAGGTTCTGTGAAGAAGAAGAGGAAACAATATTCCACGCCCTGTGCCAATGTGAATGCCTGGCTGGAATGAGGTTTCTAACATTGGGCGAAGAAAAGCCAATTACATGCAGCTAGATGCGGGAGCCACTGTCAAAGCTACTAAGACTAATAAAAAAGACTATGTTAGACGATATACTCTAAAACAAACAGGAGTCCCACAATAGATCTGAAAAGGTCGCGGTGGAGAACGACAAATAACGTCCAACTCATAATCTAATCTACCTACATGAAAAAATCATAATTATATTACTAAAAAAATATACCTACATATTTACGTATTTTTTTAACATACTACTCTGACAATACTGGTAAGTTTCAAACTCTACGCCACTGGCGAGCATATTATAGACACTGTTTACAACGTTGCCAGCCGGTCATAAGAGATCTGTCTTTCTCTCTTCCACTCACTAACAATTTTAAAACAAAACAGTCCGCAATTGTATGGGATTTATGAATGAAACATTTTGTCTATATGTTGTAATGTCTTTGAGGTACAAGGACATATTCTAAAGAGATTAGATCATTGTTATTATTAAAGAGTTTAGGCAAGCGGCATAACTGATGAAGCTGAACTTAAGCTATCTATATCTATCACAGTTACAATTATCACAATGTATCACAGGAAATTTAATTTGATTTTACAATTGTTTTTTTTTTTTCATAAACTGTAGTGCACATTCTGGATTTTACTTAGTAATCGATTCTTGCCTTAAATTGGTTAACATTAGCAGCTGTTACAGTTGATCTTTCTCGTCAACTCAAAATAATTTAATTTGCAATATTTACAATTATTTTTAACCCTTATGCACAAAGAAAATAAAGTCCATAAAAACACATGTTGAATTCTGTAGAACCCCTTGTATACTTTCAGGGGCCTTACAGGTTACTCTAATGGAGTCTATTCCCTAGTCTTGTACACCTAATTCTATAGTTTACCACAAAAAAAATCATGAATGAAACCTATGGTTATGTTATGTTGGGTATTGCACTGTGACCTAAAAGAGCTATCGAATGAAACCTATATTTATATTTTTTAATTACTAACAAGCTTTTTGACATTTTTCAAATAAAATAGGTATTTGAGGTACAAAATAAAACTCAGTTCGTTTATTAAACATTTTACTGATACATCATTGTTTTGGTATTGCATTAATAACAATTATCTTACTTCTTAGTGAGTAAAACAGTTATTTGATGCGTTTGTGAGGATTTAAACCTAAGGTTTTAAATAAAATGGCCATATGTAAATAATAGTTTTTAACCTTTTTTGTAATTAGGAGTTGGGTTATAAACGGAACCCCAGAAAAGGATAGTCTTGGTGTCTTCATGTCTAATGAAAAATAGGAATGGTACGTCTACTCTAAAAGTGACTCCTCGGAAGCTTCGATACAGGGTGACCAAAGTTGAAGCTGCTGCTTCGGTCCCAGTTTCAGTGATGTCCATATATACCTTATGGATAACCTCTTCGGCATACAGCCCAGGGTTTTGATAGTCGTTGCCTGTTGATTGTTGGTTGATCAAGTTCCTCAAACCGTCAATGGTGTCCCTTTTGCTTCTTCTGCTTCTTCTTGCTATTCTGCGACCCACTTTGTCGCCGAATTTTTTGTAAGTTACTTTTTGGTCGCCCACTGTATCTTGGCACGTTGAAACGTTGCTGGCTGGATCGAAAATGGCTGAACAATTCACCGTTTCTCCAGTTCTGCTGAAAATCAGCACGTCGTTTGGGTTACCCTGGACATAAAGCGTTTTTTAATATTTATCAGCTTTTTGTATATAATCGCGATTTTAATAGTTGTATTTATTAGATTAGAAACTGTCATTTTACCTGAAAAGAAACCAATGGATTAACTTCAGCATCGACTTTCTTCGACACGAGCCCAACACCGGGCGACAGCAAACCCAGATTAGCATCGTTGGGGTTGAACAAGCTGTTGACCCCCAAAGTTCTAAGAATCGGTTTCAAGCGAACCGTACTCTCGATCTTCATCTTGGGAAACAGAATTTGACAGGAGTTAAAAGTCGTTTGCCCTGCTAAATATTCCAAATCGTTTTCCGTTATTCTGGACTCGAAGTCTTTGAGGATTTGCTTGTTGGAATTGAAGGGCATCACGACGTACATGACGGTGGCGTTGCCTTTGTACGGCAATCCCAGAATCTCGGCTTGTAACGTGGCATCTTTAAAGTAGGGGAATTTCCCAACGTTGGCCATCATGTCCACTTGAATAGGGGTCTTTGATTTTCTGCCGTCGATGTAAAAATCGCGTCTGAAAAATAACAGATTAAGATTTGAGCATTCGTGTGATTCTAATAGATGAATTTGGTATTAAAAAAAAATCAGATATTGCATATGTAAATAACATAACTTTTTTATTTTTTAATCTTAAATATTTATTACTATACTACATACTCCAAAATATACATGGTGTTTAGCATTACTGCATAATTTATTTCATTATTAAGCATTACTATGTACATTTTTGCATGTATTTATTATTCGTTAAATAATGGATTTTAGGTTTATGATTTGTTTTAAAATTTAATATTTATTATGTGTTAGTTCCCTTTAAATAAATATTTATTTAACAACTTGCTTTTTATCTCTTAATTCGATTATCTTGACTTTATCCGGATGATCTTTAATAATTAGTCTGGATAATCCAGTGCTAGTGGCCTAGTATATTATTATTCCTTAATATCGTTTTATTTTGGTTAGGTGAATAATCGTAGGATGCCCTTGGAAAATGTACAAACCCAGAAGTCCTACAAATATCTGCAAGAAGTCGAAACTGTCGCCCAGGACGTGCTAACACTGAAACAAGAAAAACTCCAACTCGCCAACGCCCACAACAAACTCAGAGAAGCCCTGACAGGTCTAAAGTGCACAGAAGACAGAACTTCTTGGCTACAAAAAGGCTGCGTGTACATCGAACTGCCGACGGAAGAAATCAAATCGATTGTGAAAGATGAAATCGATAAAGTTGAAGACGGTTTGAACGATTTACGTAACAAAATTCGCGCCAAGTCACAGGAGTTGCGCGATTTGGAACACCAGCCTAGAATCGAGGGGTTGACTTTGAAGCCAGTTTCGAATATCGAGGCCACAGCCTTGAATAAAGCATTCGGATTTAATTAAAAGTAAGTTTGTGTTGGTTGTGCGTGAAATATAGGTTGTGAAATGAAAAATCAAACTTTTTTAATCGCATCGAATTTCCATTGTGTTACCACACGGAATTGAACAAGAATAATTTGAGTACTACAAATTTCTTTTCAGTTCTCCATCTTACCAACAACAGAACAAACACACAATACCACTAACGGACTAACAGATTATTTGTTTCCCATCATTCAAGCCATACAAACCCAACCTACTAGTTGCGTTCCACAAAGATGCCCAGCGCCTCTTTTATGGCGTCCAGGTCGTACGTGCGGAGATCCCGAAGGAAAGGCGCCAACCGAATTCCCACGCCATCTAGAACTACATCAGCCGAACCATGTGAATCCTCTTGTCCGATTCACCCCAATCAAAACATTCCCGCCGTCGCTCCAGGCGCCATCCCCGCGCTAGCCCCCTCCGGAGCCAGCACTAGTAGCGGAGGTAAGTTTCACACGCAATAATTTCAAATGTTATTATTTTATCATCAGTTTTTCTGTTACCAGGTGGCGGAGCCGTTCCCACTCACCACTCCCCGTACGATTTGCGAAGGAAGAGTCCTTCGCACCACGATGGTCCGGGACCCAGTACCAGTGCAGCCACAGCAGGTTCTCCCACGTCTCCCGCTACGCCGACCATCCCCGCTCAAGGATACACATCGGTCATGCTGCCTGCCAGAAAAAGACCCCGACGGACCTGCTCGGCTTCCTACGAGAATTGCACCAACACTGCTGCTCATTACCTCCAATACGAACTCCCCGACGAAGTCTTGCTCACTATCTTCAACTATCTGCTAGAATTGGACTTGTGCCGCGTCAGCCAGGTTTGTAAACGCTTCCAGGCCATCGCCAATGATACCGAGATTTGGAAACGGTTATACCAAAGCGTGTATGAGTACGACCTACCTTTGTTCAATCCAGCTGCTTGTCGTTTCGAATTCGTCAGCCCAGAGGAATCTGAATTGGCAAATCCTTGGAAAGAGTCATTTAGGCAGTTGTATAGGGGCATTCACGTGCGTCAAGGTTATCAGGATCTAGCATTCAAGGGTCGCAATCTGGTTTACTTTAATACAGTACAAGGAGCTTTAGATTATGCAGACGAACGTAGCGGTTCTAACAGCAGTTCGGGCTCGGTTACAGGTTCCTGCAGTAACCATTCGACGGATGGTTGGACCCAAGGGGCGTTGATATTCCTGCACGCAGGGACCTACCGCGGTGAATTTCTGGTGATCGATTCGGATATATCCTTGATTGGAGCCGCGTCCGGTAATGTTGCTGAATCGGTAATTTTAGAACGCGAATCAGAATCTACCGTTATGTTTGTAGAGGGCGCCAAAAACGCTTACGCCGGACATTTAACTCTAAAGTTCTCACCGGACGTCACTTTGAACGTGCCGCACCACAAGCATTACTGTTTGGAAGTAGGGGAGAATTGCAGCCCGACCATCGACCACTGTATCATTCGCAGCACTTCCGTAGTCGGGGCGGCCGTTTGTGTGAGCGGTCCCGGAGCCAATCCCGTTATCAGACACTGTGATATTAGCGATTGCGAGAACGTGGGATTGTACGTGACCGATTACGCTCAAGGTACGTATGAGGATAACGAAATTAGCCGTAACGCTCTAGCTGGGATTTGGGTCAAGAACTATGCTAACCCGATCATGCGTCGCAATCACATCCATCACGGTAGAGACGTTGGGATATTCACCTTCGATAACGGTCTGGGATATTTCGAAGCCAATGATATCCATCATAATCGGATAGCTGGGTTCGAAGTTAAAGCCGGCGCTAATCCTACTGTAGTCCATTGCGAGATCCATCACGGACAGACTGGTGGGATTTACGTACATGAGAACGGTTTGGGGCAGTTCATCGACAATAAGATCCATTCGAATAATTTTGCCGGCGTATGGATCACTTCGAACAGCAATCCTACAATACGTCGTAATGAAATTTACAACGGGCATCAAGGCGGTGTTTATATCTTTGGGGAAGGTAGAGGATTGATTGAACACAATAACATTTACGGTAACGCTCTAGCTGGGATACAGATCCGTACTAACAGTGATCCCATAGTCAGACATAACAAGATACATCACGGCCAGCACGGCGGGATATACGTGCACGAAAAGGGTCAGGGGTTGATTGAAGAGAATGAAGTTTACGCCAACACTCTAGCCGGAGTTTGGATCACTACTGGGAGTACCCCGGTGCTGCGAAGGAACAGGATCCACTCCGGTAAACAAGTTGGTGTGTATTTCTACGATAACGGGCACGGTAAACTAGAAGACAATGATATATTTAACCATTTATATTCTGGGGTGCAAATTAGAACCGGTAGTAATCCGGTGATTAGAGGTAATAAAATCTGGGGAGGTCAAAACGGTGGAGTATTGGTTTACAACGGCGGGTTAGGATTGCTGGAGCAAAACGAGATATTTGATAACGCCATGGCGGGCGTTTGGATTAAGACTGATTCCAATCCCACTTTGAAACGGAACAAGATCTTTGACGGTCGCGATGGTGGGATATGCATCTTCAATGGCGGGAAAGGAGTGTTGGAAGAGAACGATATCTTTCGTAATGCACAAGCTGGCGTGCTGATTTCGACTCAAAGCCATCCTGTGTTGAAACGCAATAGAATTTTTGATGGCTTAGCGGCTGGGGTGGAAATCACCAACAACGCTACAGCAACTCTAGAATACAATCAGATCTTCAACAACAGATTTGGCGGCTTGTGCTTGGCCAGCGGTGTTCAACCCACAGTACGTGGTAACAAGATCTTCAACAACCAAGACGCTGTTGAGAAAGCCGTCGCCAATGGTCAATGTCTATACAAAATCTCTTCCTACACCTCCTTTCCCATGCACGACTTCTACAGATGCCAGACTTGCAATACGACAGATAGGAACGCCATCTGCGTGAATTGCATCAAGACTTGCCATGCCGGGCACGATGTGGAGTTTATCAGACATGATAGGTTCTTCTGTGATTGCGGCGCGGGTACGCTGACGAATCAGTGCCAGTTGCAGGGCGAGCCCACCCAGGATACGGATACGTTGTACGATTCGGCCGCTCCAATGGAGTCACATACATTGATGGTGAATTAAATCGGGTTGGTTTCTGAGGCTCGGGATATAAACGAGCTGTAGGGTATTGGTGGGGATCGCTCGATTGCTCTTTAAAACATTTTTGGATTTTTACTGCCTTTTTTGTAGAATGCTTAGAAAATATTGGAATTTCATAAAAAAAATTGCTTTGTTTTTTTTTGTTCTTGGGATTCTTAGAAAATTTTTGAATTTTTTTTTTGTTTCCTAGAAAATTTTTAAATTTTTTGGTTATTCAAAAATTTATTGGATTTATAGAACATTTTTTTAGGGAATTTTTTGCATTTTTTTAACGATAAAATTTTTTTGATTCCTATAAATATTTTGATTTTAAATTTTCAAAATTATTTGATATCTGGAATTTTTTTAATTCTTGCCAATGAAAAACCACTTAGTAACATTTATTTCAAAGAATTTACTCCCAAATCTAACTTGTGGAAACATTTAATAATTTAAAGAGTAAAACTTATTCCAAAGATTTTACTCAACAATCTAATTTACAGAAACAACAGAAACAATTTCCGAAAAATCTTTTAAGCATAAAAATGATTAAAGTATATTAACATCAGAGTTTACTTGAATTATATTTGTAATAAAAGGATTTTAAAAAGTCAAGGATATAGTTTATTTTGTTTTTAAATGCATAATAAAGAGCTATCGAGCGATTTTCTAAAGTGACGCGAGTACAATTGCCAGCAATGACCGAATAATGGATGGTAATGTGTCGTCTCCCGTACTAAGTTAGTATTTCAAAACACGGCGAGTGTTCTACAAGGTACTGAATATTAGTGTGTTTTTAATTTTTAGTTATTAGTCGTTGTAACAATGAATAATTAAACATGATATGAAAAAAACAACAACACAATCATCCCAATTCGTTGGTTTGATGCATTCGTTTTACGAATATTTAGCTATTAAAGGTATACGTAAACAGTGGTAACGATTTCTAAGGACATATCTCTCAAAAAAATGATTTTGGGAAAAATCTACTTTAAAAATTTTATAAGTGTTTATTGTTGTGAAGAAAAAAAAAATGCTTAGCAATATGAAACTCGTACGCAGTGGGGATGGTATGCTGATAGTGGTTTTTGTCAAGGTTTTTTTGTTTTTGTAAAAGCACGAAACGTTGAAATCAGAAGATGGTAGACCTATCTGTTTTTATTTTTTTTTTCAAACGATTCTTGAAAAGTCGCTCTATGTTTTGGACAAATATAAATGACGATTTATTTAATGATAAATGCATCAGTTTACTTTTGCAACTCGATTTTTCATTAGAAAATGCTCATACAAGCAAATAGTTGTTATAAATTCCTACTGTATTTGAATTGAAGGGATCTCCAGTAGTGACTTTAATGTTGAAATTTTTTGTCTAAGGGGGTTATGATTGACAACCTGTGTTATTTTTAACAGGTCTGTTATTTTATAAACACACAGAAATGTTCACAAATACTGTGTCTGTTAAAAATAACATTACTTATCCATCATAACCCCTTAAAACAGTTAATAATTCTTAACGATGTTGATTTATCTCATGATAAATGCATCTCTTAATTTTTTAATTTGTTTCTTATCCGACATTGCTCCTATAGTTGAGGTAAAATCGATGAACGGACAATGACTGTATTTTTGAAAACTCTTATAGTAAATATAATTTTGGTTCCAAAAAGATGCAACATTTCGTGCTTTTATTGGAAAACTAGCGATCATGGTAGTATTGGCAGGTTTGAAGTCTCCACTGAAAGCACCATTTATTCTTATGCTAGGTCTACTGTCATGGGCGTCCGTTCTTAATGTGACAAGGGGGAATTTATTTAATATGTTTCTGTGTATTTAACAATAATTATGCTGTTCCATTTTTTATTGGGTCAAATCATACACAGTGGTTTTTTATATTAATCGAATAGAGAAATATACATAGTTTTTGTATTTTTTTTTATTATACAGCGTTGAGCAAAAAGTGCAGACTTTTGTGAAATATTTATAAGCATTACTAAAACGAAAATTTTGTTCTTAAAAGTTGGAGTATTGTTTAAAACCCAAAATACATTAATCGGATGGCGAAATTTATCTATTATATATCAGAAACTAAATATAACAGTTCCTTTTTTATGAAGGTGCAGGATGAAATATTACTTTTGTTTCAAGAAAACCAATAATTTTGCTGTATGCTTTCATTAGTACAGAAAAATCCAGTTAAAGTCACTTGAAAAGTAAAATGGAAATTAATTACTATATATAGCTTTTTTTTAGTACAAATTGAAAATATTTATTTTTCTTGTCGCACTAAGCAAAGTGAAAAATACAAACATATTTATTCGACGTAACTGGCTATTATTTCGTATTGAGACGTGGTTTTTATACCTCATTTCTAATGTATCCAGTATACGATTGGTAATTTTTAACGTCCGATTCTTTTTGAGTTTTATTCTATACACAAACTTTTACCAAGGATCCAAATTTTAGGATACGGTGCTGACTTTTTGGTAGACTGTATTAACTTCGATATAACTATCATACACAATTCTCGGTAGTTTTAAACTATTTCACTTTGGACAGTTTGTGAGTGGGAATTATAAAATAACATCTAAATAAAAACTACTTTTTGTGAATTGATCCAATATACCTTTCAAATGGGGTGTCATTCGAAAGGAACAATATCATCCTATACGTTTCTTATTATATACAGGGTTGTCTAGTTTATTTCGTTAAGATTTTACCAGTCGATAGTTTATCGAAAAATAGAGGTCCATGATGTACAGGGTGTTAAAAGTTTTCTTTATTAATATCTAAAAAAGGGTTTGACCGATTTTAAGAAATTTTTCTTAGTATGTTGACAACTTTATGAGGTGTCTTTCGGACATGTAACAGTTGATCCAGAGGCGCGTCACAGGGCACTACGATTAGTTTTCGGCACAAAAAATATCGCCCAATACATTTTTGAATTTTTTTACAATTTTTGTAAATAAATAACTAAAAATACAAATTTTTTCGTAACAAACAATTTTGCACTACTCTGAATACCGAAACCCTATACATAAAAAAAGAAAACAAAATTGGATCATAGTTTATTGGACAAAGTAACTTTATTGGTGAAATCCTAACGTTATAAACTAGATCACAGATAATTTTTTCCCGATTTCTTCCTTAATCTCCTTCTACTATGCCCCCAAAACCCCCGCGTAACGGCGTCCATATTTACTACGTACTGTCTCTGTCTACATTTTTCTGAAAAAAATAAATTTAAAAGTAGTGCTATTAGCAGCTTGTAAACATTGTTGATTTATTTGTTTTTTCCTTTTCTTTTTGTTTCCTCCCTTAATTTGAGGAAGTTTATATTATATGAGGTGGTTTGCTTAAAACGTGCATTATTATACCTTACTCGAGACGCTACTTTTCTCCTTTTTTGAAAATGTGTAGAAAATGTTCATTTAAACTTTACTTTTGTTTGATTAAATTAAATAAATTATGATGTATTAAATAATAAAGAAAAGTATTCCAAAAACTGCTGTCACCAGTGTAATATGGTGGGTGTTTTTCGTAATATAATTGGTCTTTTCCGGAAAAGTAATTTTTGGACATGTCCGGACAAGTACTAAAAAGTAGTCGACCTTGAAAAAGAAAAATTGTTTTTATCTCTTGAGTCTTCTTTTTCCCAGAAACTGCTTCTTGATATTCTCCTGGTATAGATGACACACAGTTAACTACTGTTTATCCTGGATACATCTTCAATAAAACTTTTGGAATAATAGTTGTATTTGTATTTTAATTTTTTAAGTTTTTGTTTTTATAAGATGGGGACCGAAAATTCGAAAATAAATCTCAAACAATCAGAAAACTGTAAAAACATCTTTGTAAGGAATTCAGCCAAATTGTTTAATTCAATTTCTCCACATACTTTGATTTTCTTTTAAGTATGTGAATTTCTCACATACAATCAACAGTTTTCCACCTTTGAAAGTTTGTTTGGACATGTCCACTTTTCAGACATGTCTGTGGACATTTCCGTGCCACCTATCACTAGTAATATGCATGTTTTGTTCCACTTTACGTCATCTGGTGAGTGGTGCAAGTCTTAGGCAAGCCATCTTCTAAGTGTAAGGATAACAATGATTTAAAAATTAACTTACACGCCGATGTTTACTGAATTCCGAGAGATGAGTTAATGATTTAATCAATATTATGAACTTCTTTCGGTTTTTCTTCTTTTTTTTAATAGTCGCAAAAATAATGTAGGTATTAGGTAAACACATAAATGTATTAAATTAAACTGTAAAATAAAGGTTATACTCTTTTCTAAATCAGGCTGTTTTTCTACCAATACACCTTCAATCCTTTTTTAGATAAGGACAAAAAACTTATTTTATACCGATGAATCCACAATCCAAAACGCATGTAAATAAAGGCCACTCGGCAAGGAATTGTACTCATTCAATTGAGTGTGACTATGACACAATTTTACCCATTTTTAATTAGTTTTTATAATTTATAAAATGAAAATGACTGCTTTTTTCTAGATAATTATTTAATGTAAACTAAGAAGAGTTATTTTCTCAATTATTTAATGTTTGACATTTCTTGATACACATGATTTTATTAAAATAATTAGGGAATGACCAGTTTGTGTTATCAGATAAGGATCTGATTCGGAAATAAATACTTTGTGTCAACACAATGGGACGAAAAATAATCTATGCTGCAAAATAACTATAATCTCTTAAGAGTTTCCTATAAAAAGTAATCTGAGGCTTTAAATCCGATGTATGGGGAGACCAATTTGCATCATTTCCTCTAGTTATTTATCAATTTTAAAAATTCTTATTTAAATAATTTCTAAATTTAATGTGAAGTGTGGGGACGTACTGTGATGCATGAACTAAACCACATATTTTGTCTAGTAACCAGTAGAAGATCATCCAATGAATTTTGCAAATTTACTAGGTATTTTAGGTAGCTTAAATATTCACAGAAATACTGATTTTAGACTTCCTAAAATATACGTAAAATAAATTTTATGGATTTTAATTATTAAATAGTATTCATAGCGCGTAAACGTATCTTAGCAGTGGAAGAATTAATAAAAGCTCGCCAGGTCATATTCATCTCATAGTTGGGTCTTTGCACCCCTTGCAAAAAACCCCTCCCGTTTAGGGATGCCACCTTTTCATTCCTCAAAACCCGGACCTTTTTTTCTAAAAAAAAACGTCAGCTTATAATTTCATAAACAAGGTCCAAAACAAAAAAGATCCAAGGTCCGCAGTCTCTGTATTGTTAATAAACCAACAAGTCTTTTCTAAAAGTTATCCAAGTATTCCCGGATATTCAGAATTTCAACTGGATTAAAAATTACCTTTTTGAGTTAACTTTTTCCCTTTTGCGTTAAAAATTCCCGCAAAAAGGGATATTTCCCTTCGGTTGGAAACATTGACCGCCCGCGCGCATCGTCTTACCTATCCGCGGTTCTCTCAAAAGCAAGGAGAGGAATAGTGGTAATATTATAAGACTTTATTTCTGATAATCCATTTTTTTAGGTACCTATAAAAAATAGGTTTAAACATTCTTGGGGGGTAATTATCTCAATTACCCCCCGTATATGCGCCCCTGTTAATCGATAAAAATAGTTATTTATTATACAAGGGAAAAAAGTATTAGATTTTGGCTCGAGGTTGTATTGTCACAAAAAATATTGTCAGACAAAAACCGAGAGTTAAAATCTAATATTTTTCCAGTGTATAATGCACTATTTTTTCTGTAACGGGAAAAACTACGATTTAATATTGAAAAAAATTATCTAAAATATCTACCTTTACTTGTGTGTATACATATATTAGGGTGGTGCAAAAAAATATTATTTTTTACTATATAATACCTAAGAAAAGTTGCCTCTACATGTATTAAGCTATTTCCTGAAATTTCAATTAAAAAAAATGTCTTTAGGGCTCTACCTCTCATCAACAATTTTAAAAAATAATTTTTTTAACTTTTAATACAAACTGAAAGTTGCCTTTACTTATATAGTAAACTATTTCCTAAAATTTCAGTTAAAAATAAATATGTCTTCAGGCCTCTACCTTTCATCAAACTGAAAATAAAATTCTAGTAAAAAACATAAACCAAATGTACCTATTCACAAGTGCATCAAACGTTTACATTAATAAACAAATCCAGAAAATCCCAATTAGTTGTGTATGCACGGCGAATTGTGTAGCTCTAAGTTGAACTTAATCTTCTTTTGATAGTCGCGAAAGTAAGATCTTTGTTTTAATTTGTAATGAGTTTATCAGTGAAGGACGCTAGGGGTAGTAAGGGAACTACAAATTGTCCTATATTTGGTACACCAGCGAATATACCCTCTAATGTTTTGGAAAATATCATGAATCGATATTTGCTTATTCGAAATGAACTTAAGGTTTTGAGCTTCGGTAAAGACCCTAGTATTTTAGAAATTTCTCAAATCGAAGTGATCTGGGAAAAAGCTTCAATTCCCATTATATCGAAAAATCACATTATAAAATTAATTCGAGATATCCTGGGTAAGTACCAAACCCTTATTAGATATCCTAAAACTAAACGAAATGACAATTATAAATTAAAAGTTGAAAAATATAAAGACGATTCCAAGAAATTATTCGATATTGCTGCATATAAATGTGCTTCTTTTGAGATCCATTGCACCACTAGTCGTTAAGAAATTAGCCAAACTTAAACTGATATTTTCCCTTTAACAATGTCACTTTAGGCTTCGCTTAGTTCCTAACTACTACCGGTGCAAATGGCCCTGATACATGTAGCTGTGTTAAAAAACGCAAAATACCAAATATAGAGCAAGACTTTATTCGTGATTAACGAACTGTGAGAAAATTTGTTATTAGAAAAATAGACGTTACTGAAACCAATAAATTAAAAGCCAAAGAAGAAAGAAAAATTAAGATCAAGGCGTATGCAAATCAGCTTCCTTTTAAGTTTGAAGTAGTCAATAAAAACATTGAAAACTTTGAGCGAGACAGTATATCTTATTCATCTGAGTCTGAGATGTCAGTAGCACATGAGAATTTGATAGAAAAACAAGAAGCTAAGTCGGAGCTTCCATCAACATCAGGTTGCAGTACAAGCCAGCAACTGAGACTGTCTATTCCCAACCTAGCTCGTAATTATGACCAATTTGGCATTTCGAAACGTCCTGCAGCAGAGCTTGAATCTGCTGTATTACAGGATTTGGGATTTATTTCGAAAGAAACATCGTCCTCAGTTATTAACCGAAATAAGGTCTGAAGAGCTCGTCAAGAACACCGTCTTGATTTAAAAAGCGAATCCAAACATCCACTCCGGAGATTAGAGCATTAATCTTCGATGGAAGAAAGAATAAAACGATATGCCAGGAAGAAATTAGAAACAAATTTCATCGCAAAATAAAAATCGAAAAACATATATCACTGCTTGAAGAACCAGGTTCAAAACATATGGGTCCCAACAGGTACGGGGAAACATATTGCCATATCTCTAGTTAATTTTCTACAAGAATTTGACATCAGTACAAATAAGCTTTTAGTAGTAGGCTGCGATGGTACAGCGGTTAATACAGGAACACTCGTAATTTTTTTCCTATTGTTAGTCCTTTACCAGAATTAGACGCTGCAGCTATTTGGAATATTAGGACTGATCAAAACTACTTATATCAAATGTGTCACTCAATTTCTAGAGGAAACTTTTATTAGATCTAGCAGCCCGTAATCCAGGTAAGTTATCACACGCACGATGGCTTACAAAGGCAAGCCGTATATTGCGTCTCTACACGAATTTGTGGTAAAAGTTTATGTGCCAGTGTGGTTTGACATTAAAAGAAAACCATCGTGTAGTGATAGATAAAGACACGCCTTCAAAATGATACGGTTGTCACACTACTTGAACAACGAATTGAAGGCAGTCATCGATCCTATTATAAAACGAAATGCGTATTTTTGTCATCCGGAGAACCTTCTTCTAACAATGCTTTCTGATGATCGTCCTGCTATAAGACAACTTGGCTTACGAAGAATATTGAAGGCGTGCACAAAAATATCTACAGACGTAAGGGAATTTGTTATTCCTGAATTAGATTTCGATGCTAGTGATTATGAGCTTATTAATTGGCATAATTGCTCAGTTACAGCACCACCTCTTTTAAGTACTGCAACTGATGGAGATATAGGAACTTATCCTGTAGATTTTTTGTCCTTTCCCTGCCATACACAGGCAGTATAGAGGTGCGTGAAGGTTGTAACAGAAGCTTCCAATTCTGTTGTCGGCCATGACTACAGATGGATTTATTCGTGCAAGGATTTATTCTAGAATCATACTACCTCGATTTAACACTAAGGCGGAATACAATGAATGCATTCCATATACCTATTTTTGTTTGTTTGCTCGTCTATGTTATATTGTTAAGTTCTACTCGCTTTCGTTTATAAACAAAACATATTTAAATTGTTTATTTTCATTTTTATTAAAATATTTGCAAAAATGATGCTATTTCATTTATTACTCCGTTTTATTAGATTATTCGGGAAAATAGGAAAATTCAAGTAGGTGAAGATGACATTTTTAAAAAAAAATAAAAATAGTCCGTTAATCATTCTTACATTTAGCAACTTTTTCGCTCTATTACGTTTCGAAAATAAAATAAAACATATTTTCTTCCTGTTTCACTATACTAGTATAATAATAATAATAATAATAATAATAATAATAATATATCCGGTAAAAAAATACTCACTTTTTTCCAGGAAAACACTTTTCCCGGGAAAAGGGGAATAAAGTAATTTCATAAAAAGTGACATTTTGTTACCTGACAAGAGAGATAGCGTCACTTTTTTCCCGTCACAGGAAAAAACCATTTTTTTCTGAAAATTTTCATCACTTGCTCTCTGTTCAATAATGAATCGATAGAACCCTGGTCTCAATTCAAGGTTGAGAAGAAAAAGCTCTATTAAATCGTTTTACAATATTCTTTTGTAACTAATGACACATAATATTCATAGAAAAACAACAAAATAGAAATTTCTGATCTTCAATGCCACCATAGAGGTACTCTTGAGAAAATATATAACGCGAAAATAAACTTATCGATTCTACACTGAGAAAACTAGTTCACGAGAACATAAACCTTTCACCGAATCTACACTGCGAAAACTACATTTATTTCTGTTGTAGTTTGACAATACTTCACCATCTATCTATGTTTCCTTTTAGGATTGTTCATACGAAAACAAAATGGGGGTTTTGGGTATTAATATCGTGGATGTTAAAAAACGTTCGGACAGGACGATTTTAGTTTGTAGGGCGACACTTTCTTTTATTGCAGCATCATCACTTCAACCCTCGAACAATGGGGTGAATAATCCCTACAATTTAAATAGAATAAAGTAAAATGATCAATAATGCAAAAATGACCGATTTTCAGATATTGTCGCAAATGCAATATGGAGATATTTAGATTAACAATTAGCTTTCAAATGAAGTGTCACACTTTACAATACATAAGATATAAGAATTTTTATCTAGAAATTTAATACACCGCAAGGCAAAAAAAATATGATGCTTTAGATGTAGGTGAAGTGCTGCTGGTGGCGCCTTCTGCAATATTCATCTATATTACAATCAAATCTCGATCTCTTATTCTAAAAAAGTATAAAATTTACTGCAATATTAGGATAAATATTCACAAAAAGGTTTTAAGGAAATAGGTAATAAGTGTCAACTTTTGGACTGTCAAATATATTTTTGCCTCAGGAATGGGTTTTATACAGACTTAAAAACAAAGAAGAAAATCTTAAAATAATACGACTCGACAAACATTTTGTTTAGGCAAGTTAACGGCCCATGAACGTATATACGTTACTTTAAGTAGTCGTCTTTCATTGGAGGTCTGACATTGGTAAGTTATTTTTTTGTCACAACGGGCGGCAGAATGCCGTCGTCACGTTACGAGCAATAAGTAGTGAAAGGCCTGCACTTGGCCAGCAGTTTCCCATAATATTTATGTTAACTTCCCTTCAAGGGACTTGAATAAGGCTCGTAACTTTAATGTATTGTCGCGCAATATATAAATTCATATTTTTTGTAACATCTAAATTAATAAATTATTAAAATAATACCCCATTTACATAAAATCTTGTTGAATTATGTCGCGAATTTGTTTTAAGTTGCAATCATGTATAATAATAAGCGATTATTTAATAACAATATTTAAGTAACAATAAATTATGGGAAAGTTATAAAGGTAATTTTGTGGAGACAAAGGGTGCTTTTTCCACAGGGCAGGATTCTCTCTGTAGGAGACCCTCCTTGCAGCAGATTCCCAGTAGCGGCTTCAGATCACGGAATTCCGCTCGGAGGCTCTGGATCTCCATCGTGTAAATTAAAAGTCTTTATTTATATTTTGAATCGTGGTTTTAAAGTTTAGTCATGGACTGTCACATGTGCTCCAGATATTGGAGTTGGTAAGTGTATTTAACTTTGTATCTTGTTTGTTCTATTACGGGCCCATATTTGTGTAAGTCGGGTAGCGACCTATTTTGTATAGTTGTTTTGAATAGAATATTATGTTTTGAGAATACTGTTTCCTTCAGCCCTTTTACAGAGACGTAGGTCCTGTTTCTAAAGTAGAACCCTTATCTGTTAAGAGCTATGAAGCCAAATTTAAGCCACTTACATGATAGAAGCCCTGAGTTATATAATTATTTAGAACACGTAAATCGTGACATTTATTTAAAAAACACATATATCGTGACACTATTACACCTGGCAATGAAGCCAAGTTTCCTATCACTTTTCCACCGAAAATCTCAACGTACAACATTTGAAAGATGTCATTCTTGTCGATACTTCATACAATTTCAGAACTGAACCGTAGATGACTTTAATACCTTGACGTGACGTCTTCCATAAAAGGCTGTTCCCACTCTGCTTTGAAGTACATTGCACTGGCTATTATGACCTTGGTATCTTTTGGCACGTCGTTTAGAATGTCCTTGATTTTTCCTTTGGTCCTGTCGGCCACCCATGCGTTCACCACTTGTTTGGCTTTTTCTGGATTTGATTGGAAATCCACGTTGACTACTTCGCTCTGGTACAGTTTTTCAGCTGCTTCTTTGTACAATGTTCTTATCGGGTAGTTGTTTTGTACAAAAACAGCGTCTGTAAAACAAATAGTATATATTACATACCGATGTGGAATGTGATTTAATGCAGTAATGAAACTTTATACCGAGATGTAGGGGAAGTAGGACAATTCACCATTAATTAGTTGCAATGTTTTAAATAATCCTTACATTAACATTTTTATTGCTATAGTCTTTAAATACTTAAAAGGAAAGATAAAAACTATAAAAAACAAATGCAAATATTTTATAAGTACCTATATTTACATAAAAAGAGTAAATATGACTTAAATATTTAGGTTCCTCATTTCGACCATATTACACTTATCTCAAGTTTAGTTGCCAGCTATAGATAATCCATCCACTACATTTAGAATGTGGCACATTTAAAAAGGGTTTGAGCCAATCATCATCAGCCCCTTTCCTTATCGAACCCATGATCAGTTCGCATTTTTACTACAAAATCCGATGATTCTATGATTCTATACATTGTCATTTCAAAAGATCAAATCAAAAAATAAAAGGTAATCATTCTGTCAAATAAAGGAGAATAACTATCGAATTCAATCGTCAAATAAAATGAGTCAACAGTAATATGAGTCAAGAGTCAACAGTCATATATAAGAATAAACATTCATGTAAGAGTCAACAGTCATAAACGAGTCAACAATCATATAAGAGTCAACAGTCATTAAAGAGTCAACAGTAATTAAAGAGTCAACAGTAATATAAGAGTCAACAGTCATATAAAAGAGTCATCAGTATTATAAAAGAGTCATTAGTCATATAAGAGTCAGCAGTCGTGTAAGAGTGAACAGACATTTATAATAGTCAATAGTCATATAAGCACATACTTTGATTTTCTTTTACTATACGGAGAATGGTCGCACTGCGCAGCTTTCTGAATGCCTTTTAAAAGGAGATAGGAAACTCCGCCATTAATAGGTGCGTTTTAATCATCCGCTTCTGCTTTGGAATTGTCGGTTTTCTTGTTTTAATCTGACAGGTTACAACGACTAAACCGACAATTCCGGAAGCAGAAGCGGATGATTAAAACGCACCTGAATTGAGGATACTCAGAAGACTGCTGTTTTATTATAGGCGGTTGTCATATATTATATTATCCGAGTTCGCAGTGTATAAACTAGAACATTGAGATCAAAAGTGCCGACGCAGAGTGAGCGATCTGATTCTTTAGCTATAAAAACTGTGGCATAGGAATCAAAATGGCCGCGCCCTATGTTGGGCGTGTCGGACCTCTCTCTTGCACCATATAGTAAAGAAAATCAATGTGCATATAAGGGTCAACTATCAAATAAAAAGTCAACTGACAAATAAAAATGAGACGTCTTCTCAAGTAAAAGACATAACTGCCAAATAAAAAATAATCAACTGTCAAATAAAAGATAATCAACTGTGAAATAAAATATAATCAACTATCAAATAAAGGAGAATAAACTGTCAAATACAATAGTTAACTGTCAAAAGGTAAACTGTTAAATAAAAGAATCGACCGACTTATAAAAGTGAATCAGAGTGAGTAAACTGTCAAATAAAAGTGTGTCTGTCAAATAAAAGTGAGTCAGCCAAATAAGTAATCTGTCAAATAAAAATAAATCAACTATCAAAAAAAAAATGAGAACTATCAAATAAAAGTCATCTGAAATAAAAGACCAAACTATCAAAAAAAAAGACAAAATCAACTGTCAAATAATATATTCAACCATAAAATAAAATATAACTGTCAAATAAAAGACTACTGACTGTCAAATAAAATCTACTTGTGCAAAAAGATTCAAAATAAGATATAACTGTCAAAATATCATTTCGATTAAGTAAACTGTCAAATAAAAGTGAGTCAGATTGAGTAACTGACAAAGAAAAATCAGCTGTCAAACAACATAGTACATTTGCATTCCTAACTCACTTTATCATAACTGTGACCTATTTAAATGCTGCCCTACAAATTTCCTTCACGGCTCGTTCGGCTTATATTGCCTTTATAACCATTTTCAACTGCTTCTCATTCCACTGACCAATTGTAGTTTTTCTTGTAATGTGTTCTTGACATTTTAGTATACACAAATAAAAAAAATATATCGTATAATTCCGCGTAGCGTGTAATTTACCCTAAATTAATGTGCGGTATTTCCCCAAATTACATATGTGCACATAAAACGATAAACTAATACCAAACTGTTTGTTTTTAAGATGAAATAGTATATATTTAGCAACAATTTAAAAGAAAAACGGTATTGATAGCAAATAATGACAACAAAATTATAGTAACACTTCCTGCAAGAATCTTGACGTTTTTTTCGTCGGATATTTGTTTATAATTGCAATAAAGGTAGAACGTTACCAAATGTTTAACTAAGTTATAGATTCGAAGGAAACTAATTCCCCTACTGTGTACCTACTATTTGACTAACAACAAATTTCTTAAAAACATAATCGGAAATTTCGAAAAATCATCTACTACATCTACATATCTGTTGTGTTAATGGATTATTGATAAGGCATATTATATTGTACAGGACGTGTCAAACAAAATTGAATTTAGTAAGTTTGTTTTAAACTAAACAGTTTTTGAACTGTACATTTTATTTATTTAAAAAAGAGTTTATTCAAAACAGTTTAATTTTTATAATTTATTTACACACACTAAACACTAATTAATTTATTTATATCCTAATACTAAGCTGATTTATATTTCACATTTTTAATTTAATTTATATAACAATTTAAATCTCTATCTTTTGTGTGTAAACTTAAGTTCTCCGACAACATTCAGCCTATTTATATAGAAATGCTGCGCACCGCACTGGTACTCGAAGTTTCCAGATAATTATTTAACACGATAATATTGCCGTCGTCCTTGCATCGTGTAGAATCTAGTTGGCTATGACAACTCGAGAACATTTATGTAAGATGGAGTGCCAGACTAAATGATGACATGGAGGCAAGAGTGGACCTGCCAAAACGGCTATCACGACAGTACTCCCTTCTTAAGAGATAGTTCCTCCTAGAACTGTTACTGAAACTGAATGGTTGTATCTACAACCGGATCATCTTTTACAATTTCTATTTACAAGTAAGTAACAAGGGACAGTTTTCGCTGTATCCTGGAAACTGGACGAATGGCTGCAGACTAGTATTTGTACTCCGGTATCTTGGAAGATTATTTTCACCATGTTTTTAATGATTTTCCAATTCAGCTGGTTGCTCTCTGTCTATAACATGGCTTGTTTCTCTGTACATTGGACTCCAGTACGTGCTCCCTCAACCTAAGTATTACTTCCCATACATCATAGTAAGTGGATCGATCTCGGAAGGTGTTCTTTGTTATTGGACAGAAAAGTTCTGGTAATCGACCAAACTACTTTCGAAAAACAAATGTCAGTCCTCGTGCGTCGTTGATAGTGGCGGAAGTACTATGGACCAGCGAGTATTCCTTTGGAACCGTACGCAGGCCTTGTTGTTGTTCGGTTATATCACCATAAGACAAGGTCAGGTGTTTCTTGGAGTTGGTTTACTTCTTCTTCTTCTTCTTTGTAATGGTCACCCTCAAATGGCGACAGCAGGTTTTAGTGCACTTCCTTCGGTTTACCGTTCGGAATCTTGTTTAAACGGTAAATAACATCATTAATTTCTTTCTTGATGAAATAAGGACCATCCCAATGCTCTTGGAGCTTTGGAAAATAACCCTCGTCTTTTTGGGTTATAGAGCCAGACTTTGTCGCCTTCCTTGGAACATCCTTCTGTGGTTTGGGTATCGTACCGTTTCTTCATCCTGTCACTGACTATTTGAAGATGCACATAATCTTCACCGGCTATATCTTCTCCAGGTCAGCATGCAAACTCGAGGTCGCATGGCAGTCTCATCTCACACCAGAACAGGCTGGTGTTTGGCCTTTTGATTCATTGACAGCGGATCTATAAGCCATAGCGAAGAGCAAAAGATACTGATCCCAATTTCGCTGATGATTGGAAACTATTAAAAAAGGTATGATATTACACAGATTGATACTATACATCATGGTGACGTATTGTAGTGGCAGGCGTGTCTTTTACAGGGGGGGATATCGCGCATGGTGTCATGGTGGCGCTGACGTCATGCGTAGAGTTGCTAGAGTTGTTGCGAAGTAAATAGAAGTTATTTGTAAATCGTTTATAGTGATTTATAAAAATGTAAGCGGATATTATGTTGGAAAATTTGTTCCTTGTGTGTGGTATTAGTGAAGAACATTATTAAAAAAATATGGTACGCAATTTACAGAGGTAACAGTAACAATAAAAGCAAAAGATTTAAAAACAAATGTTATGTTTTTTCACTTTCCTCGACAAAGAGAGGTTTTCAGTAGTGAGAAGTGGCCGTGCAGATAAATATAAAACAGAAAAATGACATATTTTTTCCGAGCACTTTTAACCTTCCGATTAAAAGGGACTTTACAGCAGAAGTCGTCATTGGTTCATTCGCAACTCGGGACTTCTCAACTGGGGATCTTACACTTTTGAAGGCTGAACTCGGAACTTGATACATTTCTACACATAGATAATTCGCAACTTGTGTAAGCGGTGTTAACAAATGGATAAACATAGAGAAAGTTTTCAACACAGGAGATGGTCTAGCCAGGAAATAGATCTATGCAGATTTGGTTTTATAATATTCTATAGGTCATAAAATGTGGAATAATAAGTTTAAATAAAATAATTTTCGAATTATTTCAATAAATGTCTAAATATTACATACGATTTGTAGTTCAAAGCGAGCTCACGGGGATTCTCATAGCAGTAAAAGAAATCACCAGAAAATAATATCACTGGAAGAAACATTTTCATTTTTACAGATAGAAGACAAGCAGTACTCACCCTGGACAGACCTGGGATAGTACTAGAATGTCACAAAGCTTTGGCATCAACAATGTATAGTCAACTTAAGATGGATCGAAGGTCAGGTCACATCAAAAGGTAACCTTCTTACTGATTCACTTGCCAAAAAGCAGTTACAAATAGTTTTTAGACCTGGCCCTTTTATTAGACTGACAACATCGATAGTGACAAACCTTCCTAAAGAACATTCTCTTGTGAAATGCAATTAAAGATGGGATGAAAAAAGAAGCTGCAGACTTACCAGGGAGCTTTTAAGTTATTACCGGCATTCTGACTTGACATTGCCAACTACAGAAGCATCTCCATATCATAGGGCTGTCAGAATACGCATTCTGCAGGAGTTATGAACAAGAATATGAGACCATTAACCATATCCTATACGATTTTCTGACGCTTTCATGTATTATAAGATTTGTGTTCGGCGAGAATTGGCTAACACCAGTCGATATAAGAGAAGCACCTCTTGGCGACGTTGTCAACTACATTAAATCTGTAGGCTGGCTCATGAGCTAGGAGGTGCCTCTCTACTTAGGAGGATGCACAATGGGCGTTACAGATACAGAGATGCATACGGTGAAAATGAGAATATCCAGATGCATTTAAGAAGGTGTGTTGCCTTGCCATACTTTCCATTCGAAAGCGTAGACTATGGATGGTTGAGTATTACAAACTCGCTTGAAGGATAGTATAACCACTTAAATATTCCGACCATTACGACAGTATACAGCAAAGGTGGAATTTTAAGACACCAAATAAAAAAAATTGCGACAGTTTTACTTGTTGAAAGAATAAAAAACTGTCAGTAGCTACTTCAATCCAGGAAAAATGCAAATTTTATTTGCTTTTTTTTGCTCTGTATTATATTATTAAAAAAAAACGATTTCAAAAACTTGCACATGCCATCACAACATCTTAACCAAATTTATATGGAACCACCCTTGAGGTATCCCCTTACTAACAAAAAAGAACCACATAAATCGGATAAGGTGGTAAAGCATTATCGCTAAACATACATTAAAAATGAAGAGTTTGTGGATTTTCTCATGGACCCAACTATTAGATTTTGACCAGATGTATATTGGACTATCCCTGAAGTACTCTTTTTCTATCAAAAATCATTGAAATCGGACACCGTGTTAAAGAATCATCGCTGAACATAACTTAAAAAAAAATATTGCGACGAATTGAGAACCTCCGCCTTTTTTGAAGTCTGTTAAAAAATAGTATATTCAATTGGGTAATAAAATGCAGATAAAAACAGTCACCACTTGCAAATCCTAATCAGGTAAAAATTTCCGGCATCCCCAGATGCAAAATTTTTACTCAGACTTCCCAGTTGAGAGATTGCAAGTTGCGAAGATATCCTTTGCATTATCCTGGCTATAGAAATTATTCGCTAGAAGTCGAATGTTCTTAAAAATTAAAAATCTGAATTCGAAAGTATATAATAAAATAAATCAATAAAAAATAAAAAGGAAAGAAACTGTTACTTAAAATAAATACTTCTCCTATGTATGTATTAACATTTATTTTTCATAACTATCCTATAATAATATCCTTAAATTTCTTAAATATTATCCTTTAATATGTTATGAAATTTCTGTAAGTAGCATTTATTTTCCTTTCACTTCATCAGTATTTTTAAATTCGCGCCAATACAATCTCTACGCGTGACGTCATGCGCGTGGCAGTTCTATTTTTGACACTGTTGATATCCTACCTTTTATTTTTTATACCATGTGTCTTTTACGTATTTGAGGTATCAGATGACCGAAAAGAGCGCGAGAATTTAAATTTTAATCTGCTCGATAGCCAATCAGATAATCATAATCATATTCCACACCACAATACGTCATGCGTGAACTCGACCCGATTTCGTCGCTAAATATCACACCTTTGTAATTTTTTGTATCATGGGTTTGAAATCACTTTTGACAGGTACTTGGTAATGGTCTTATTCATTCGCTCTACATTCCATCCAAGTGTAGTTCTGGTTCTCTTCTTGCCTAGCCTGTCATAGAGTCCTCGGAAAGCTGGCTTTCAAAATTTCTGCCTTGGTGACTGTGGATCTTTAAGGGCACTCCAAATCGACTGATAAACTCTTTTATCAACACGTCTGCAACAGTTGCGGCCTCTTGATTTGGAATGGTGTAGTCTTCGACACACTTCGTTAAATAATCCATAACCAACATCATGTATTTATTACTAACTTCGGTCATGGGAAATGGCCCAGCAATATATAAAGCAATCCTTTTATAACCGACGTTGTATTGTTTCATGGGGGCCTTAATTTTCCTAATGTAATTTTGAAAGCCTTTTGGGCGCTTTAGAGCCTTTTGTTTAGTCAATAGCGAATTACAACTATAAACAATTTTAGTAACAAGATAATAATTTGATAACTACGTGGATGACACCGTGATTGTTTGCAATTTTATTTTTGTATATAAAATTAGTCTAGTACAGTTCCAAAAATTTTGAGGGATACAAAAAAAAAACGTTTTTTAAAGTTAAACTGGCAAGAAAAAGATTTTTAGGAGGTTGGAATGAATAAAATTAGAGAAATGATTACAATACAAAAACAGTTTCCTTCAGAAAGATAATTCTAAATATAATATCGTTTTTTTAAGGAAAATAGGAATTAAAACATCTCTAAAATTTTAGGGAGATTTTGAATTATTTGAAAATCGAGTAGGTAAGTACCTATTTTCAAACATTTTCTACTTATCTTTTTTGGAAAAGAAAAGTAGGTTAACACCTCCAAGACGGTGTAGGTGTGTACACACTGGGTAGTAGGAGAAAATGAAAGATTTTGTATGTCAAGTATTGTAGAAGAGAAATTGTTTTAAAATAATTCCACTTTATTTAGCTTAGCGCTTTGCGGTATCATCAGGACTCTATAAAGATTAGCCACTGAGTATAAAATTTTAAGTTTTTAAGTTAAATATATTTTTTTTTGTGTTAGTTATTTAACTTAAAAAAAATAGGCTCATTGGCCAATCTTCGTAGAGTCCTGATGATGCCTTAATCGGCGAAAGCGGAATTGTTTTAAAACAATTTCTCATTTATACATTTGAAATACAAAATCTTTAATTTTCTCCTAACTTTTTAACGCTCAGTTACCTACTTAAGTAATAACTCAAACTTACCTGCAAATGACACTTGTTGACCGATAACCACTCCTGCAGTACTTTCGATTTTTCTGATCATTCGACCTAGCTCCCGATGGACATTTTCTGACTGATTTTCGATTTGTAAACCGGTAGCGAATCCCAGGACCGAGGTAAGTTCTTGAAATGTCCTGCCGTTGGAACCCAACAACACCAGAGCTAGTGCAGCTAGAACCATTAAAATGATTAATTTTTATGAAATCTAGGGTAGGATGCGATTTATTTTGTCGATAAAAATAGGAAAAATAAAGGGATAGACGGAAGTTTCAGTTTCAAGAAGTCAGGTGGCAAAAAAGTGGTAAATAATTATATTTTATTATACAGGGTGATTCAACATTTAGTGCAAATATTTTAAGGGCCTATTTATCAGCCAAAATTAAGAAATTTTTTTCATATAATCATATGTCATAAGTTGCTTCGTTTTCAAATAAAAAAAAATATCGATTTTTTAACAATTATTAATTAAATATAATCACACTTTGAGACGCCACTGGAATAAAAAATAGATGAAATTTCATAACACAAATAAAAATTAAGATAGACCTATTTGGCGATAATCTCTATCATTTGGTAATTAATTTTTTTACTTGTTTTAATAGGGCCTGGCACAGATTTTAATTTTTTTCTTGGAAACAAAGCTAGATACGAGTAAAGCTCAAAAGGCAAAAAAGTTACATTATTGACCGTTTAATAAAAAAAAATTCAATTTTCAAAAAAGTGCCGTATCATAATTTTACCTATAAGTATCAAGTAGGTCGCTCTCTGAAACGCCACTGGAATTAATAAATTTATTTTATACTCACCAAAGGAAGGCCCTTATGACGATAAATAAGTCTACCAAATTTTATTTAAATCGGCTGAAAGGTTATTGAGTAATTGATAAAAAAACCGATTTTTTTAAAAAACTTTGACACCCTGTATCTAGAAAACGAAGCAAGTTAGGATATATGATTATATGAAATTTTTTCTTATTTTTGGCTGGTAAATACGTCCTTAAAATCTTTGCACTCAATTTTGAATCAACCTGTATTTTTTACAATGGTATCTCCGCAACATAACAAAATATCAAAATACCTTCAAAGATGTCGACACATTTCAATTATATTCTCAACTGTCATACGTCAGTTCATTCCCCTTCTTCACTCTAACCAAGAAATTTAATAGGGAAAGTACCAAGTATGACACATCATTGAATAGGTAATTTATAGAGAATTCAGCAAATTTTAACTGCGTTTTAGTCATTGTTTAGGAGGTATTTCCTATTATAAGTAACTGGAGTGATCCACAAAAATATTTCTAAAGTAGGCATTGGAAAAATTAATGCATAACAAAGTGTACAATTCTTCATCTTTTTAAGTGTCAGTTTGGATTTAATTCAAAAGCTTGCGTAGTTATCACAAATGTTACTCGTATATGACTGCCGGTCATGGCCTACTTTAAAAACATTTTTTATGGATCACTCTTTGTAACCTATATCCAATATTACACCTGGTTATGGGTCGAAGGTACAAACTTTACAGCATTGGCTACGTTCAGCAGAAAAAATCTGATCGGGATCTGTTTCAGATCAATTTGTAACAGTTTTATAGTCTGCTGAACAGTATTTTTTGAGTTTTGAGCAAGAAACTGCAGTAACATTTGACATTTATTAAAGTCATGTAACTAACCTCCAAACTCCAAATTTATGATTTTATATTTTATCCATTTTATCTGTGTATATTAATAATAATAGCAAAAGCAACTATTGTAAAACTTGAGTGATACAATGGAAGGCAATATTATAATGGTCGTCCCTGATAATGATATCGACTTAAATATTATTGAAAAAATAGTTGGGACCTCCATTCATTACTAGATGCAGTCACCTGAACTTTGACAGTTTGATCGAGATCTAGGTCAAATAACTCTAGAACTTCCAAAGTTTAAATTGGCACCCTCGTCTTTAATCTATTTTTATTTTAAAGTTGATCTTAACCTCAAAAACAGAATACGCAAAATGTTTACTAGAAAGGCAGCATAAATTAAATACGCTTTAAAAAATGGCGACTGATCCGACAACTGTTTCGCGCAACGTTGAGAAAAGTTGTCGTTCAGCAGAAAATAAGTAAACTGTTGCGTCTGCTGAACGCAGCCATTGTTTTATGAGAAGAAACCTAAGAAACTAGACGGTTGTTAATGTAATTTTGGTTTGGATACTCACCTGCGATATTAAGAGGAGCAAAAACGACATTATCTTCGATTGATTTTTGTTGATAGACCTTATTTATGGCTAAGGTTAATTTGGCAATACCCTTCGATATGAGTTGATCGACGTATTGCTCGTAAGTAGGAGTAGGACTAATTGCTCCAAAAGCTTGACTAAAAGATGGAGCCTGAGGGGCTGCGAAACCGCCAGCCTGCGAAGCACGTTTCGGTGTAAACCTTACGTCATCAGGAAAGTATATTTGCGTGTTATTGTAGATGTTGCTGAGGACTATAGGTAAGAATATCGAGGCTGCTAGAGCTAGTTGTATACTCATCTGAAAATATAAAAAAAAATTATTATAAATAAGCAATTTGGATTCTATACTATAATCCACACAAATTTCAAGATGCCAGGTGCCATAAAATGTAATTATTTACTTTAGAGATCGACCAGTGGTCTGTCAAACAATTTTATCTAGGTAAAGATACAAAATACATTGGAAAGGAGCTATAATGTATGTCCCAAAAGTTTTCGGGAAATTTTACAATAAAACGCAACTACAGTAACGTCTCATCAGGTTACCGTTGGAAACAAATAGCATCAAAGTGTTTGAAGTTTAATATGACATGTCATTTATGTTAAAATATTTAAATAAGATGTCGTACAAGCTGGATATCCGTAAATGTATGTCTGTTTCGACAATCTACCAGACAAATTTACCAAAAAGTGGACGCCCCAAAGTTTTGAGTCGAGCAAATGATCGAAGATTAATTGAAGCAAAAACAAGATTGGAATGTCAGTGCGAAAGTTAGGTAGAAGATTTCATGTTTCAAACGTAACTGTTTGTAGAACATTCCCCAGAAATGGTATTCAGTATCGGAAACGAAGGAAGGCACCAAAATATAGCGACAATTAGAATTCTGAAATGTTGTCGTGCTTTGAGACCTGTACATTTTCCTGGTAAAGTTATTGTTATTGACGATGAAAAATATTTCACATTATCCAATTCTGGAATTTCCACTGTTCAGGAACCAGGAAAAGTTTTGGCGGCAAAAGGTCAGAGGAGGGTTGGCTCGATGACAAGCTGAGACAGGGGTCGCAACATAACAGTTGTTTGTGCAATGAGCGCTGCGTTTGTTTTCCCTCATCAATGGCATTCACCACTGTTGGAGAAAGATAGCCCCATTGGAGCAACATATGTTCCAAGAATGGTTGGATAACAGAAGAACTATTATCAAATGGCTTAAACACTTTGTTCATGCAAAACGATCTGAAAATGAAAAAGTGTTATTAATATTAGACAACCATTCTAGTCATGTATCCCTGGCAGCCTATGATTTTTGTAGATCGAATAATATTATCATGTTATCTATTTCACCCCACACGTCGCACAGGACTCAACCATTGGACGTTGCGTTCTAGGGACCACTCAAGTCATTGAAATGAGTGCAGTCTCTATACGAAGTCCCATGCTGGATAAAAAATAACTCCGTATTAAATTGCCTTATTATTTCGAAAAGCTTTTTCTAACGCTGCATCAGTGGGGAAAGGAGAGTCATGCTTTAAGGTAAAAGGGATCTATCCGATTGACCCTTCTGTCATAGAGGAAGATTTCTTGGCTGCTGATGCCTTAAATGAGCTAGACGAAATAACAGTCTTTGACAATGGAATTGACACTAGCCTTAACGAAGATATTGCGCCAGCCTTAACGACTCCAAGATCCGATCAAGAACAGGCAGGAAGTTCGTAGCAGAGTTGTTCTTCAGAACATAAAGGCCCCGCAATTCCTTCGACTTCAAAGCCAGAATCGACTCTAAATTGCAGTGTTCCAAAACAAAAAAAAAACCAAAATGTCAAAGCCGAACCGGAGACCTAAACAGCATTCAACCATTTTAACTTCTACACCCCTTAAAGACTTATTGGAAGAAAAGGAAGAGAAAAAGAAAGCAAAACTAGAGAAAACTAAGGGTGGGACAAATAAAGTAAAAGGTCTTAGCCAAGGAGGAGAAAGTCGCCAAGATGATGAACGTAACTACCCAAAAGGAATATAGAACAAAATCTAACTTCAGCAAAAAAACAACCGATTCAACATCCTCTTGACTCTGATATTGAAATAAATATCTGCAGTGATAGTGAAAACAATGAGATATATTTTAATTTATGTGATTTGTGGAGAATATAGGACAAATAATATGTGGTACAGGTGTACCATATGTGGATAATGAGCACACTTTCTATGTTCTGGAAAAGATTCGCCAATCGGATATGTTTACGATTTTTGTTTGTGACCGGTATTGCCCATGTTTATGACCGGTATTATCCGAATGTTAGGGTAATACCGGTCAGAGATATATTTTTGCAGTTTTGGTATTTTTTTGAAAAAATATAAGATTGTTAGTTTCATTTTTCTCTGATCAGAATAAGTATATGTTTTTTAGTTTGACTTTTGTGTTCAAATTTCGTTAAGTGACCGCTATTACCCCATTCTACCCTAATGATGGGTTCTATACAGATAATGTACAAAATGCTTCAGATAATGTGAAATTCAGAGGCAAACATAAGTTGAGTACAAAAGCTTGGTGTGTTGCGCCATATCGAATATTGGAGTTTCACAGCCGTATGTTGGACGTGTTCGTGATGAAGCCATCAATGCTAACATTTACATCGGTAGATGTCTTACAAAGCAACGGAATTTTATTGATACTCATCATCGCAACGACCAAATAATATTCTGGCCATTTAGCGTCGTCTCACTACGCCAGAAGAACGACAGACTGGTTAGCTGCAAATGGCATCAATTATGTTCTGAAGGTCTACAACCCTCCAAATGTGCCTCAGGCGAGACTTATTGGAGATTTTTGGTCTATAGTGAGGTAGAATAGTGTACGATGGCATTTGGGAAGTCCAAAATGAGGAACAACTAAGGCGCAGAATATACCAGAAAATCCGGGAAGTCGACATCGCTACCGTCCAAAGACTCATGGCACATGTGATGACCATATTACGTGCAATAGAAGAGAATGGGTCATTATCCGTCATGTGAATATTTAGTTGTTTAGTTATGTTGTTACAATACAAAATAAAATAAAATTTTTTACCATTACTTTTTTCTAAAACTTTTGAGACATACGTTATATATACAGGTTGTTAGTCGTTAATTGGTGAATTTTGATTTATGAATGTAGACCAATAAAGGGCTTAGTTATCGAGGTACAGGGTGTTAAAAGTATAAAACCAAAATTCAAAATTTGCCATAAATAATGCTTTTAAATATTTTTTTCAAATTTGGTAATCTGTATAAAAACTAGGTGGAACCAAAAAGCCAGTCGGGTAATTTTTAAAAAATTATTTTATTTTATTTTATATTATTTTATTATTTTAAAGCTAGCAGCAATAAACGAGGTTGCAAAATTTGGAAGAACACATTCTGACAAATAAACATCGAACTATCAACAACTGTCATCCACTACCAACCTACTAGAAAAATTGCATTACAAAAAAAATGTACCTACTCATACAGTGTGGAAAAGCCAAATGGAATAAATTCATTATTTCGATTACTGTACATATTTATAGAAAATCCCGAAACACGTCAAATTTAAATTATAAATTGACATTCTTTAAAGTGAAAATGTGATCCCTACCTTCAACCCCCTTTGAGTAACAGTTACAACCCCTAATTTTTTAAATGGGAAGTATAGGCTTGTGATATATCGTTTGAAAGGTCTCTTCATTCTCTATTCAAAAATGTTATTGTTTTTAAATTTATTGCAAAAATTAACATAAAAAAAAATAAAATAACTGATAACCGAAATTTGTTACAATACACGCAATATGTAATATTTAATTGTTCATAACGTAAAAAATATGAATGTCAATGAAGTAGATGTTCAAAATGCTCACCGCGAACGTCTTGGCAACATCCTAATCTTGAATAAAAATGTCTTCTAACGTTAATTAACATATCAGGCGTGACCGATCTAATCGCAAGCATTATTCGTTTCATCTAAATCACGTGGTTTAGTTTTGTAAACAATATTTTTCACATAGCCCCATAAAAAAGTCTAATGGGGTAAGATCAGGTGATCTTGCCGGCCATTCTACTGATCCTCGCCTCGCTATCCAACGATCTGGAAATGTTAAGTTGAGGTACTGGCGGACATTGATTTGGTAATGTGGAGGTGCTCCATCTTGCTGAAACCATATGGTATTTGCTGGAACTTGAGGGTTTCCTGGATCAGGAAATAAATTTGCCAAACTTGGCACCGCATCATTTTGTAGTAGTGCTAAATAATTATCGCCATTCAAATTCCCTCAATGAAAAAGGGACCAATAATATGGTTTTCAACAATCCCTGCCCAAACATTAACCTTTTGAGGGTATTGTGTATGGACCTCTCTCATCCAGTGAGGATTTTCCGTTGACCAGTAGCGGCAATTTTGACGATTAGCATGACCGTTAACGGAAAAAGTACACTCATCAGAAAACATAACGTTTTATAATTGGATGGTATTGTTATTCAACATTTCCATCATTTGTTCGCAAAAATTTGTTCTCCTATCAAAATCGTCTTCCATGAGTTCCTGAGTCGGTATCATTTTATAGGGATGCATTTTATTTTCATTTAATATGTTTAGTATCGATGTATGGCTGACATTAAATGTTGCAGATGCTTGTCTACTCGATGTATGTGGGTTTTCCTCAAACTCAAGCATCATATCTAATTTGATATCATCACTCAGTGCATTGGCAGCTGTTTTTTTCATCTGCTTTACATGTCCAAATTCGCGAAATTGCTTCTCTATTTTACTAATTGTACCTCGGGATATAGGCGAGCAACTTCCATTTGTGTTCGGGTGTTATCTCCGTAACCAATCATCTGTAAAACTGTTATTTTTTTTGTGTCATCGGCTTCAACTGCTAAGGTTATTTCGCCTCGTGTTCTGTGTAGGCTTTGTTACTGTTTCCCAGCGCCACTTTAGGAACAGCACTGTTAATTAGAACCCAACAGAGTTATGCATTTCTGTTAATCTAACCATTTTTATGAAATTCAAACGACAATTATAATATTGACAATATCCTGCAGTTATAATTATTACAAACCAATTTGCTAAGGCGTTTTAAATAAACTAACATTGCTATGATAGTTTTTTAAAGGATTTTTTTAAATTGATATTAAAAAAGAACACTGATATGGTTTTTGCTTAGGTACTGTCTTATTATAAAAACTGAAACGGGAAATAGTAGTGTAGGTACTCTAGAGAATTTCGGTAATAAGATGATTTTATTTTTTTTTATGGTAATTTTTGCAATAAATTTAAAAACAATAACATT